TATATCCACAGATAAGTTTTACATATAAAAAGTTTAAACTAGTGAAAAAAACAAAGCTAGTGAAACACAAAATTATTTTTTATAAGTGTTCTTCATATATTTAAAATAAAATTGAAAGAGGATAAAGTGATAAACAATATATATGTGTTACAAATAAAAAAATAATTTTTTTTGAAAAATAACCTTTGTTCTGTATAATTACGCCCAAATAGTCTCAAACAGAAAACTTTTCGGCCAGGGTTGGTCAATCTAGTGAATGTTCAAAATATTTTTTAAAACAGATTAATAAGAAATGAAAGCGAGAAAAAGAGAAACAAAAGGGTAAAACAAAAGGGAGCAAACCAGCGGCAAGTTGCCGTACCTACAACCTCCGCTTCCTCCCCGCCGGTGGTAATTTTCCAGCGAAGCTCAAGCATAAGTTGGTCTCTGAAAAAATTGAGTTCAAGGTAAACTTTTTGGTGATTCTTCTAGCATCTGTTGTGCTTGATAAATGGCTTTAAAGCTTATTCAAAGAGGAATCCATGAAGCTGAAAACCCAATTGAAGTGTCTCTTAGAGAAGCTTTTGAGCTTCGTAAACCCCAACTAAACCCCCCATTTTCCTTAAAAGTCCTAACACAAGAGGAATACTCAAAAATTAATAAAGCTTTAATCTTTGGCATTTTATCCCAATCCCATTTGGCTAAAGTTCATATTAAGCACCTGCATGCAATTATTACTGATGGGTATGGTTTCTTTACTTGTATTCTTGTCAATATTGTTGATGAATTGTATCCAAAGTTGCTTGACTCAGTGAAAATTCAGCTTATATGGGTTACTAAAGAGATGTTGAATGTATTGGCTATAGGTTTTGATAAATTGCTAGTGGTTATTTTAAGGCAAATTGTTGGTGGAGATTTTAGGGAGGGCAATTTGTGGTTGTGTTTGGAGATGGTTACCTTGTTTTTAGCCAATTGGGATTGTTTATTAGAGGAAGAACCATTGGTTTTGAATAAGGGGTTGTATGTGTTCCTTCGATTATTGGCCGATCATTATAGGGTACCAAGTACTCCAATGGTAGACGCATTGAAGAGAATGGAGGTTGAATTCTGTGTTCGACTTTTGAGGGAACACTTTCCTTTGTGTTTGAAGATAGGGAGGGACTTAATTAGGCTTTTGCAAGACTTGGTTCATATACCTGAGTTTAAATCCATATGGAAAGACTTGTTATTGAATCCGAGACAGTTTAGGGCGGACGGATTTGAAGATATCTCACAAATTTACCGCATAAGAACTTCAAGTTTGTACTTTTTGCTTCGAGTAACTCCTGAAATGGAAACCAAATTGAGGTTTTTGCTTACACATGTCAGGTTGGGTAGTCAAAAGAGGTACCAGGTTTGGTTTGCTAAGAAGTTCCTTGGAGTACCCGAGAGAGAAACCATTTTAACTGACATTGTTAGGTTTATATGCTGTTCAGTTCGTCCATCCAGTGAAATTACGCAACCGGACATCTTACCCAGATGGGCTGTGATTGGTTGGCTATTGAAGTCGTGCAGGAAGAGTTATATCGAAGCAAATGTAAAGCTTGCATTGTTTTATGATTGGCTTTTCTTTGATGAAACCACTGATAATGTAATGAACATTGAACCTGCAATTCTTTTAATGGTGAACTCTATACCTAAGTATATTGAAGTCACCCATACTCTTCTTGAGTTCCTGCTAATTGTGGTTGACAACTATGATATTGAGAGGAAGGAGATTATCTCCAATGGGGTGTCAACGGCTCTTTCTACGATTGTTAAAAAGGGAATTATTGGTTCACTTGATATTTTGACTCGATGTGACATGATATCACCAGTCCTTAGGGAAATGCTTGGAAAAATGTTATTGGTCATGCAAAGTAGCCATTCCAAAAAGTTAGGATCAGCCAGTGTTACCCATGACATATCACCACCTATACATTTGCTTCCATCAAGCTTGGGATCCCAACACCCTAACAGCGTAAGCTGAAATAAATTGTGTGTCGTCACAGGCATATTCAGGGCAGATTTGCTAATGCATCTCTTTCGCGTCCTGAAGAATTGCTTGTGAACTTTTTTTTTTCAATAGGTGATAAGGTTCCACCAAGGGGACGAAAATTTCAAGGAAAAGTTTGAAATCAAGGTGATAGGAGAAACATCTCTTTTGCCTCCTGACGAATTGCATGTGACCTCTTGCTCAATAGGTGATAAAGTTCCACTCAAATGGATGAAAGTTTCAAGGAAAAGCTTAAAATCAAGGTGATAGGAAGTTTCTCTGGTACTACTCAGATATCCTAAGATGTATATTCCCCGTCATGTTGCTAAAAGTTTGCTTTAGCTCTTGAGTACTGCACATTCCTATCATTATTATGTTATTATCTGATATTCTCTATTTCCAGAATAGCTTGTTTTTCTGCATTCTGCAGTTGTCAAATTACTTAGACCACAGGAATTAACATCTTCAACAACTCTTAGTTCACATCCTAAATGATAATTGTAAGTTGTGATAAGATTTGGTCATCTAATCCGTGTGAGAGGTGATCACAAGTTTTGAATTGTACAATGTAGTCGGACAAGATATGGTTTTCCCCACCCAAACTTTACTATGCCACCCTCTTCCAGGTAAGTCTTATACCCTGGCGACACTGTATTTGTACCTACCTCAGCTGTGGGGAACTTGCGTTAAGAAAATAATGTTTCTTGGTTTTATTCATTCTGTGCTAGTGACTTGGCCATCAAAAAAGGATGAAAACAGCACCTCCTTTGATGAACTTATTCGCTCAAGCCTCAGCCTCTATTATAGCGAGCGATTTTGTGGAGAATGGGAAGTGGAGATGGACTGATAGTAGAGGTTAACTACTTCGTGATGTTAACCTGTTCACTTTATGCCTAAAGTCAGTCGTATAGATCGAGTAAGATGGAAGCTTGAATGAGAAGGTTGTTTTACTACCTGTAGTGTGTAACATTTTCAGGCACAATGGATTAGCAGGTGTATTGACAATTGCTATGGCATAAACTGCAGTCAGAAAGTTCTTTGGTGCCTTTTCATCTTACGGTTGGCTTGTAAAGGAGATTATAAGTTCTGCAACGTCATCAAATCTATTTGAAATTTTGTCTCTCTAACCTTTTCTCCTGGTCTATCTTGAGACATATCAATTTCATGTGACATACTTTTTTATTGAAGGATGAATATTTCTCTTATATTAGAAGCGACACTTGACGAGCTTGAGCAGCCTGTTTCATCAACATGCCTGCTTGGCAGCCATGTGTTCCGCTCTCGCTCTCTCCTATTAAAACTCTAGAGCCTCTGAAATATCCCACCGTTTCTGGATTCCTCTATCCTTCCGCTCTTCTCCTAAGCCCAGTAGGATAGCTAGGTGGTCAATAAGGCAGCAAACGTTAGGAATTCGGCCAGCCAATTTCAAACGACGCCATAGCCGTTTTCTCTTTTGGGCCTAGCAGTGAACTGAAACGACACACTTTTTTTTTTGTGTTAAAAAAGTGAAGCGGTAACTTCTATTTGAATGAGTAACTTCTGAATCGCAGGTCTTGCATTCTGCGGACTCACTGTCGATTCCTTCAGGTATGCACAATTTCTCCAAAAAGTCATCTAGAAGTGTCCGTCCCTTGTTTTTCTTATCGGGGTATTTTTTTCTCCTTTTTTGTTTAAAATAGAGCCTCCTCATATTGGAAATAGATTCTCAAGTTATACATATGAATCCCCGGTTTTGAGTGGCATTGATGATAATGTAGCTTCACAAGGAGATATCCAAAGTCCAAATAAGGTACTTGAACTTCCGGGTATGATCCGTTTCCCCTTATTATTTTCGCAACTTTACGCTTTTCCCCTTTCTTCCAACTTAAATTTGTCGAAAGAAAATATAAATTTGTTACTCCGTGGGGATACTTAATATTTTTTTTAGGTCTGTTATACGCCTCTTCACGTGGGTTCTCATTCTTTTACTTGGACCAAATACATGAAAATATTTGTTAATGAGTGGCGGAAGGATGCAAACTAAAGATATTTGTCTGCTCTAATCAGTGTTGTCAAAGGAGCGCTTTAAGCGCGCTTAAGCCCTGAAGCGAGGCTCAAAACACGTTGAGCGCTTCGCCTCGCTTTGTGGGCGCTTTAACGTCGCATCAAAGCTCTAAGACATACTTTTCCTTGCCAATGAGTGTAATCTTGAAAAGGCGACCTTAAACAATTGATATTTTACTTTATTGCGATTTTTTTTTTTTCAATTTCTTTGTCCATATAATATTCGTTATTCATGCTTATAATGATTAGTCTTGGACTTACTTTTTCTCCCGTTGCGCCTTTTCCATTAAATCTCACGCTTTATTTGCGCTTTGCGCTTAAAGCCCCAACGGACCTTAGAGCTTTTTTGCGCTTTTCGCCTTTAATAACATTGGCTCTAATACTATGTTTAAATAAATGAAACCCTCCATTTAAAGTTTAAAATGGTTAAAGAGGAGACACATTTTATTTGTTCATTTAAAGTGCAATGGAAGTGAAAATGACTACTTTTAATTGGCCGCCTACTATGGTAATGAAGGTGCTTGTCTAGATACCATTACCACTTAATAATGGACCTGGAAACCTCTGCAGCTTTATTGTTCTTTCGTTCTGACCCTTAGGATGAAACAAGCATGTGGATGCAGAGTATGCATAGAATTATAGCTAAACTGAAGACATAATCAACTTAGTAAAAGTTCTAGATATGCGATAAGGTGAAAGAGTAGGTCCACTTGGGAACATGTGACATCTAAATTTGTTAAGCAGTGATGACTTAAGTTTTAACCTTCGAACATATGAGTTAACCATCTACAATTAGTTTGAGAAGCTCGAGTCAATTTTTGCTCGGTGTAGGTTATAGAGATTCACAATCCAATGCTGGAATCATCTGGTTAGAGTTTGGGATGGAAAGTGTTGGTAGTAGCAAGCTTGCATTTGCATGTGTACTATCAATGTGTATGGTTCCTCACAATACTTCTGTAGTAAGTGGTAGCTAAGCCTTTGATCAATTTAGTTATTGGAGTAATTAGCCAACCAAGTTGATACTTGACAGTAAACAAAGTCCAGAAAGGAAGCCATTGGTTGGTAGAAGCCTGTCAGGGAGCAGCTCTTGCTGAAACATTTGATGAGACTAATTGATGATGCAACAGTTACTGAAAATTCCAAAATAGACATATCCATACTGTCCTTTTCCCAGTATTCTCCTTGTGGGTTTATTAATCTATTAATGAATCTAATTCAACGTTTAACAGAAATGGATGGTCCATGATTTCACCAATCACAATGACGTAAATATAAGCTACGCAGTTTTTGTTGTGTTATCATACGATTTGATTATACTCGGAAACCATTGCGTTAGAGTATTGACTCTGAAGAGATTTTTGCTTTCTACTTCTTGAATTTAGCGTTAGTTACTAGGAGCTTTCAACGTTTTAACGGTTGTAGATTGTTACTGAATATCATTTCTAAGATTAGTAATATAACTTTAGAAGTTGTTTCACAGGTTTGGAGAGATTCAGATAATATCTCATTTTCTTCATCTAAGTTATGCTCTTCTACATACTATAAAGTATTGCTTACTATTGTCTTCAGGAATCTGAGTAGTGGAAGTGAAATTTAAAACCTTATATATGCCCTGAAACTAGACCACAAATTAAGGATTCCAGTTCATCTTTCGCCCTTAAATTTCACACATCAAATTTGCTCATATCAAATTCGTAGGAAGCTGACTTTCTGTTCCGATGTCAATGCTATCACAACCTTTAGATGCCAAGGACTGTTTCTCAAGTTTTGTGCCTGAAACTCCTGCATTGGCCAATAGTGATGATTTTAGGGTCCCTGAATCAATTGACATTGGCTTCAAAGAGGATACTAACACCAAAGGATGCAAAGAAGACAGCGACAACAAGGAGGAAGATAATTCTGCTGAAAATCGAACAAATGGAAAAAGTGATAGTGTGTCTTCTGGTGTTGATGTGGCTTCAAAGGGCCTTCTTCAGTGTATAATCTCTGTTGCAGATAACAAAAGGGTAGGTCAGGTGAGTTATTTTCCTTTTGTTGGGGCAAATTTAGATTGCTTCTTCCGACGTAGCTACGAGACTTCTCTGCTATAAAATGTACTGCATTAATAGCTGCACCCATACCATTAAGGTTTAATCTTGGTGGAAATTTACTATAAAAACAATTTCATCAAGTTTAATTTAACAATACAGCTTTGTTTGTTTGGCATGATGATCCTGCATCTCTTAATCCTCGAATTCTACTCATCTTCATTAGAAAAGGAATATTGGCAACTATAAAGTGATTTTTATTACTATTAAAACATGGGATAATCATGATTTTATAGATAAAAGCCTTATACCAAAATCCTCTAGCATTTCCTGAATGAAATAAGCTTAGGCTAGGATGAAAAAATAGTTGTGTTTCACTCTCTCTCTCTGTTCTTACTCTTTCTGAGTTTTATTCTTAGCAGACAAAGCAGTTTAAAAATTTTATTACTTCAGATACATGATTTGTAAGCTTAGATAGACGATAGAAGAGCGAAGTGGAGCGTCCTCCAAATTTAGTATAGTGATAAGTCATAATAAAACAAAGGTAGAAGAAAGAAGGAGCTAAGCTTTGCTTATAGAGTATGTAAATATAGAGCAAAAATAGTGAGTGAGAGCTCTGATGAGATAGTGTAAGGTAAGTGTTCTGTTTTCAGATCTGGAGTCTATGTGAGTCCCAACTTTGATATGCAGGTAGCAAAGATCAAAAGGGAGTATGTTAGTCAAATAGCGGGCTTTCATCTTTAATTCCATGAAGTTCCATTTTTTCACACAGGAAAAACCGTTTCCTAGATTGTTGTGAAATCTTGAAACCAATGCATTCAAACACCTTCCTTCAATGTGTAATAATCATTCTACTGCACAACCACACTCTTCTTACTCATGTGCATTTATTTAAAAATGCTTCCAGAATAGTTGTTTTCAGCTAATCATTATGCTTCCTCTCTTTCCGCTTGATTCACTGCAACCTATGGATAACGTAGATGACCGAAAGATAGCACCATTGATCTGTGTTTTCTCATTTGATATGTATAGTGATGATTTATGCAGGTTCTTTTGACATGCAACTATTTTCCATTCAATTGGGAACCACCAGTGACAACCTGTCAACGACAATTCTGCTGTAGCAGCCCAAAATAAAAATTATGCAATTTAAAACTACCATTGTGGAGGTGCATATACTGAAAACTCTAGATTCATTTTGAGTCGCTCGAAATTGATTTAAATTCTTCACTTTACTCATTCTGTGATAAACTTTTTTCGACAGAGATAATTGTTATCTGTTGAGCATATCAGGTGCTAGACAAGCTGTTCAAAATTCTTTTACAAAAATCACTACTCTGAACACTGATCTCCCCTACGCCTAGGACGTTGTTTGGGCCAAGAGCCATAGTTAGTTGCTGTTTCCATTTGGTTGTTTCTTCCTCGTTTTTGATACCGGCAAGACCCAACCAGATGATGTCAGCTGGTTGGTAGTGAGAGACTCTTAAGTACCTACATACCCAAAAGAGGGCGCTGATTATAAACTACCTGGTACCTTTGTCATCTTATCTTACATGCAAAAACAGATTGTTTTCGACTTGGCACAATTTTCAACATCAGCTACTATTGGCGAGGGAAGTAAAAGAAAGGTAGAATCCATCACTTCTGAAGAAGTAGATCGCAATCCGTCGACGCAAAGATGCAGACCTAAGCAAGAAACCAAACGTACAATCAGCGAGTCCTCTGCAAAAATAATGAAGGTTAGAAATTGATACTTGATAGCCCATACTTTGTTCCTTAACAACTTTTAACTAAGTTACTTTGTGTTTAAGAACAAAATCAGAAAACATGCACCTAATAAACAACCGCACACACAAAGAGTAAATTCATATATAATAAAAGTTTTGTCGGGTAAAAAATGCATAACAATGTTTAAAAGTTTCAAAACTGTTTTAACTTTTCTGAACAATTTCGAAAATTTGGAACAATTCAAAGTGAAATCTATTTACAGTCTCTTTACAATTCTTAGTCCAAATTACATATTCTCAACTACTCTTTTACACTAACTCTCAATTTGTTGTTCATACGGATGCTTCATCAGATTTGAAGTGCAACAAAGGCCGCCTCAATGTTTTTTGATAGCCTACAGCAATTGTAATACTTGCATTCAAAGCAGATTTTGGTGGTGGCGGTTACCGCAGTACAATCTTCCACATTTTGTGTAAATAAGTACGCAGATTTTCATGAAATGTATACTGTAGTACAATGTTTCACATTTTGTATAATTAGCCACGCAAACTCACTCTTTGAATATTCTGGTAAATCCAGGTAGCTCCCTTTATAAATACATTTATGTTCTCATCATACCTCCAAAACTCCAAAGCGTTTGATAATAATTCTAATCCAAGAGTGAAACCGTAGCCGCATACCCTACAAAATAATATGCAAGCTTAGCTTACTACTAACATAGTTACTCTCAAATAGAAAAATTTACTATCAAGACCTAAAATTTAAAAAAATATACCCACTCAATGTTACCCTTATGTTGACAAGGTAATATAATACTATATAACAAGAAAGTATAACTTTGTTCACGTTGGGCCTGGACAGAGCCCAAGCTAATCCTACTAGTATTCTTGGAAGCACTAGGATCCGGATCTATCTTATTGACCGACTTTGATTGAGCAACCGCTACATTTCTTGAACGGCTACTGCCTACATAACCCCTCTCCCTCTTTTCAAGGAAGCGAGTCTCAAACCCTATGTAGTTTTCGGTCCTTTTTTTGAAAGTTCCTGACACGTGCTTTTGTAGCTCTTCACTCCAGCCCTGAAGTAGTTTGTGAGCCCATTTTAACGTGGACCCTCCGTTATAGAATAGAAAGAAAGTGGTGCAGAGATCCATCCACTAGGTACCATCACCAGCGCACTACCCTCCCCGTCCCTCCGGATCGATCGGAACAGACCAACCACATATGATTCATCTCTATCTAGGGCCTCGAAATGGAGCATCCATAAAGAACGAGTTTTCTCTCTCATAAGTTGCTTATAGATGAAGGAGCTGCTTAGACTTTCCCCCAATAAGAAGTCTAATTTTTGCTGTAAAACTTTTATTCTACACTCCCCGCCCACGGGCGGTAGTATGTAGTCCCGAATGAATCTCCTTCGATGGCTAGTCCAAAAAGGGTCAGGGTCTAGTTCGCCCATTCTATTTGGGTTCTTCAGATTTACAATTAGGTCTATTTCGTGATCGGAAATCAAGAAATTCTTCTACCCCAAGAGGTGCACAAGTAACCTCTGCTTGATGACACCCCTTACAGAATCCATATCCGGTTCTGGAAGATCCAATTCTGGAAGGACTGCCTCCACTGCATTAGGGGGTGCATTTTGGGGGTTTGGCTGGGCGAACTCTTCGTCATTTGAATAATTATTATTATCCGCAAATAGGCCTACACCGAAGGACGGCCAACCGGGGCCTCCACTACTACCCCCCAGGTTTCCTTTAGACCCAAACATAC